TTTACCAATGTGGGGGAAAGCGTGTTGGAGTGGAGGCGAGTCCGCGTTGCGAGCACCTCATTCATTGCGCTAATCATCAGTAATCCGAGTCGTAAATGACGGCAGCGGGATCCATGCCGCACAGGTCTCTCCACCAAGCGTTTTTGGTCGTTTGTCAGTCATACACGTTTCAAAAAAAAGAGGACAGCTCGAGGGAGATTGCCGCAGAAATTGGGTTGACTGAAGCCTGAACACCAGATAATTGGGCACGTGTAAAGGAGAAAACGTTGCAAGCTTTGGCAGAGTGCGACACGTAAAATTGGGGCGTCAAACGCCATAAGGATAGTCTCCGTGTCGTCCTTTGTTAGAACCTCAGCATTTGATGTCGATTGTACTGTAAGTGTTCTTATACTGTATGCCAAACGAGGTTTTTAAGATGGAATCTTCATTGACTAGGCCTGACGTTTCGACCGCTTCGTCTTCTTCAGAGGCCTGGAGATAGTCTGAAGCTTTTGATTTGTAAGCTACTCGATCAACCGATTCTAGTATTCTCGACGTCAGAGAACGTCGAGAACACTACCGAGTACTCAGTGATGAAGACTTGAACTCACCGAAGATTCCACCGTCGCGGAGCAGTAGCTCAGGTCCTGAGTTAGTTGACGTCAGTGAAGCGAATGAGCTCTACTCAAGTCTCGCAGTGTTCAGCTTTGAAAATAGCTGCTGAAAACAGCTATTCGGTCCTAGTGCACCGCACAAGATCAACACGTTTAACGCCAAGGAAAGTTACCTTTGTGCCTCCCTTTCATCTCCGATCGAGTCAGCACTGCAATACATCACAGTATTGTAAGAGCTCAGCTGCAAGATGATGTTATATTAGTTAACGTGCCTAATAGCAATATCAAACGGCAGCTCGTCCGAAACAGACTGTATGACAGGCAGTGCGTGATTCAGACTGTATCATCTGCCCAAATGGCACGTCAGGGGATTGTGGTAAGGTTGGGGTGATTTACCAACTTGAATGTATGGTATGTAATAGCACGTATATTGGAGAAACTGGGAGAGCACTAGGTATCCGTATTCAAGAGCATCTAGCTGGGAAGAGGCGTGGTAATGTAGCTACACCACTTGGCAAGCACAAGATTGAGGAGCACAATGGGAACGACTTTGATGTTAAATGTTCTGTGTTAGCGTACGAGACTGAGATTTCATCCAGAAAAGCATTGGAATCATTCTGGATTTTCGCAAGGAAACCTAGAATGAATGGCCGAAACGAATGTCCGTCGATTACGAATGAGCTCTTGCCTTTTGTTTCAAAGTACGAGCTATCACTGCGACGTGCAAACGTTCATTGCGTTCATTGCCCCATCGTTCGCACATAGTCTTCATTTCCGTAGCCAAGATCATCATTTACCTCTGCGTCACTTTTTAGCGGAACTAATTTACTTGCCACACGTCCCCATTTGACAAAAGAGGCAGTCAGCGCGATTCCAGGCGACCACGAAATGAAAACTACCCTGGTTTGTTCTTAAAAACACGATTTGCGATCAGGCATCGACCATCACCTTTCCGTCCCTCGTCGTGCAAGTCGTACCCCTTTGCGGCTTGAAAGTGTGAGACAAGGGTGCTAGAAGCTCGCTGGACCTGCAATCCAAACCTTTGTCCGTGAACCGCGCCTTCCGTAGGCGACTGCTTCGCTGCAGTTGCAGCAGCATTGAAGGCAAGTCCCGCAAGGCATTAGCTGGTAGTAGGAGGTTGACCGTGAGGGATATTGTGGGATCCCGACCAGCCTGGATCATGCCAGCTTCGTCGCACGAATTGCGCGAT